CGCGCCCCCCGCGGGCCCCGCGCCCCCCGCGCCCCCGGCCGCGCTGCAAGCACCCGCGCCACATAAAATTGACTGTAACTATCTTATGTCACCTGTAACCGCAACAGAACGATCAATTCCTTTTCTGTATTCAGCTACCTATCTTTGCCCGCATCTAATCAAGCGACTTCCACAGTGGAGAAGGAGAGTAGCAGCAACCTGGCGCAGGTGCAAGTGAACAAGGGGCAGCCAGTACCTGCGCAGTCGGCTCCGCACTATATGAACAACGGCTCTCGGTTTGCAGCGGCGCCAGCCCTGGGCGCCAGCAACGCCCACGCGACGCTGGCGCCCCCTGCAACCACTGCAGCGCCCGCGCCCGCCGCGGCTGATGTACAGAAACTGCAGCAACAGCTCCAGGACATCAAAGAACAGGTGACAAACTTAAGAGCCATATTATCCCTACCACAAACTAGGCAAGTGCCAGGGTGCAGTGCTAGGGTTCAATGTTACAGACGCCACGAGACGCGCGTGTCCATAAGGCCATTGAGTGAAAGTGGCGCCAAAAAAAATTACAGTCGCCTACGAGATGTTTGCCTAGGGCGCTCTCTAAGTATAATCCGCCTTAGGATAAACTAATTCGTATCTTGTTTACAGCTCACATATAGCAGCTACGTTATAATACCCTTTGTTCATAAATGAGTCCTACTGTTTTATTCGAGTGCACATCGACATTCTGCTTCGTTTATTTAAGCTTTATAGATGACAATCTCTATTTACTACGGATTGATGCAGAGTACTGGATTTATAGGGTGACTTGTAACCAGTGACGTAACTATACTATTCGAGGCCCGTGGCAAATTCATCAGATGGCAAAGACCTAAAACCGAAAAGTTCAGGTACGATTTCTGGACGGAGGATCCAGTTTTCTATTGATCAAATTAATGACTCAAAACAAAATTTTGATTCTAATTTACTTGCTATTTTAAAACGAATGATATTTCTAAAAGTATTAGTATTAATGATTAATGTTTACTGATGTCAATACATACAACAAATTAATACTAAAATCACTTAAATCGAACCAGTAGTTTTTATTTATTGATGTTTTGGATTTTTTCACCAAAACCGAAAATATTGAATATCTTAGAAACTAGCTCCTTTTGTGGGAAATTTGTTGTATTATCACATCCCGAGAGGAATACGTCGTGTTACAAGTCACCCAGTATAATAGTAGAAAAAAATAAATTGACAGGTCAAAACGTGTCAGGCATTTTAAATTACAGGAAACTACAAATAAACATTTTTCATCGGAGTATGTTTTGTTCGTGATGAGTAATACCTGTGTGTGTTGCCCGCAGACGATGTGTCCGATCTGCCTGGACCGGCTGAAGAACATGATCTTCCTGTGCGGGCACGGCATGTGCCAGATGTGCGGCGACCGCATCACGGTGTGCCCCATCTGTCGCAAGCAGGTCGAGAAGCGGATCCTGCTCTACTGACGCACTGCGGCCCGCTCTACTACAAGGCTGATAGTATAATGGCTTACTTAACAACTTATATTTATTACAATCTTATATAGTTCAAAGAATATCATTATTATTTTATTACAAATAAATACGAATCGCGACAATGTCGCAAAAGCAGCTTCTCATTATCTCGGAACTCTTTTACAGGTTCAAATTACTTAATAATTTTTAGTAAATTCTGCAACTAAAGATACAATCCTCAAATAGTGTTGCTTACAAGTTTATTGTTACGTTATGTTAAGCCTTATATATTTGTTATTTTTGTATAATTAATTGAATCGGTTTAATTCATAGTACTTAAAATCACGTGTAACACAAAATATGAATTTTCCATTTTCATGCATTTAAATACCCCTTGGAAATAAGTTGAAATAATTCGTACTATGCAATTATTCAATGCATTTTGTGTTTGTGATAAGGGTCTTTAGTGCAATGTGAAACACATTGCCAGTGAACTAACTCATTAGGCTGACCCCACGTTAGGCGCGCGATCCTTAGGCGTGTGCCTGCGGCCGCGTCGCTCATACGCCCGAGGATCGCGCGCCCTTATGTGGGGAGGAAAGGAAATAATTTGATGTTTGAAATGCCTAGAACAATTTGTTACTCGACGAAGCTTGTTCTTTATGAATGCGAGCTATTTACTAATGTATTGTATTGTTATTGCTAGTGCCTATAGCTACTATTTAATGTTACAAAGGGCTTTTTGTAATCCCACACGTTATTCAATGATAGAATACTTGCATAACCAATATTAAATAGTTTATACCTGTGTAATTATTCTTATTAAAATAAATATTATTGTTCGAAAGTACATTTTTATTACAATTTCAATCAACACAAAATAATTATATTTTAAATAATAATTTAATAGACGCTACATCACGATTAGCCAGTATAATTAGCCACCAAAGTAGTCTCATCAATTGTATGTTTGGCTTGATCTGGAAAAGCGACAGATTCTTTGACTTTGGCTTCTTCGGTCGCAGAGATGCGGTCGCGGATTAAACTTTTCGTTAAATCGCAGATTCTAAAGGACAAGTGTAGGTCCTGCCCCAGGTCACTCACTTCGCAGCGGCGGCAGTCCTTGTAGTACGCGTCCGACAAACCGTTCAGGTCGGGGGACGTGGCGCAGTACAGAGGTGTACTGGCTGCTTGACTCTATACATATACAATGTTTTGTTAGAATACTGCATTTACTTATAATTGACGTACTACGTGCAAGGACGACACGCAACACTTTTTGTTTCCCAAGAAACAGTGCCATATTATCCCTAAGGCAAACCAGGCACTTGTCTAGGGTAGGTTACATAAGGGCGCAGTGAGACGCGCATGCTCACCTACCTATAGAGTGGCGGCGACGGTGACGAAATACTTACATATTCACATTTATATTAATAACAATAATATAATATCATAACGTGTAGGTATACTCACAATAGACTTGGAGAAAGGTCTCATACTTGTATAGAGCAACTCGTATGGCCACCAGTTCCGGCACAACCTCGTCTTTACGAACGTGCCGGGGTGTGCACAGAACACTGACTTGCCTGAGTTCAGCCACCGGTAACTCAAGTAATGCATAAAGTGAATAGCGCACAACTTTGAAATGTTGTAGGCTCTAATAGACGTGTATTGACTTTTGGGCAGCGACACCATCGCTTCCGTGGGCATCAACTGATTATTGAAATCCCAGCTTACATGTCTAAAAAAGGTGAAAAGATTTGGATAAATCGAATAGGCAATCTGATCCCTGAACATGACCAAGAAACATTTTTAAAACCTTTATAGAAGGAAAAGCCCATTCCATGTTATTATTTTAGTAATATGTTTCACTGTATAAATTATACAACTCTATAATACCATAATTAGCTGTACCTGTGTGATTCTGAAGATACGATTACGACGCGCGCATCGGGAGCAAGAATCTTTTCAATATTCATCAGCAAAACATATTGACTCAGATAATTAACTTGGAATGTTGTTTCTAACGAGTCTTCCGTGAGAGTCCATGGTAATCCAAATACAGCTGCGTTTAAAATTAGGATATCAATTTTCCTAAAAAAATAAATAAATAAATTACTAAACAATATTAAGCACTTTAGCCATTGGGACATCGTTTTAAAAAAAAAACCAAACAGTTCCCAAATACCACGTTACTATATTCGTCTGGAACGATTTTAAATTTTGTAGGTATACCTATATCTGATTTATTTTTGGAAGATACAGCTATTATAACTTTAAAATCTGCAGCCTATGTTTATGTTAAATGTTCAAAATTTAACTTACGATTGTTCTTTCAAAATTTCGTCGGTACACTTTTTGACTGATCTCAAAGACGCAAGATTAACTTCATAAAGTTTAAGGCGATCGCTATTTCCACAAACTTTTTTGGCCACCATATTGGCTGCATAGGGATTGCGACAAGCCATAAGAACCGTACAGTCTCGAGAACTTAGAGTCTTCGTCATCTCCAACCCGATACCACTGTTAGCTCCCGTAATTAAGCATGTTTTGTTTGACAAATCGAGATCTTTAGTTACCTAAAAAATAGTAATTTAATTTAATGCCTAAATAGATACCGAGGTGTGGTCAGGAGCATTCTATAAAAACTTACCTGTGAACCAACCGGCCTACCAAGCGTAGCAAGTATAGCAAATCCTCCCCGTAGGTATATATATACATGTTTCTGAGATATCCATATCTGGGTTTGCCTTGAAATATTTCAAGGTAAACCAATTATGGGTACAAGTCGTATCCCTGGGTATATGTTATCCAACCAACAATATTCCTTTCAAAATTAGCCAAGTCTCGATGGAGCCGCTTCTTCATCTCAAAAAAGTATTGAAATCTAGACAAAGTCGTATCAAGTCTAAGGTTCCATATCTATTGCGATTTCTATAATATTACCTATAGTAAATGTTGACTTGACTTAGCCGTAGAACCACTACCCATTGAAGATAGAAAATTGCCACTAGCAAAAGTTCATTGAATAAAGAACTGTTCTAGCGACAGATTGGTATAATGGTGTCTTGCGCCTGATTTTGCACTTTTGTGTACCCTTCAACGACCGATTGTCATGTGACAATCTCTAATAGTTTGGTTGGGCTCTTGTGGTTTCTAACCAGGGTCACCAGGTACTCCAGATCTTTGATTATTCTAGTTTTTATAGTTTTCCCTTTATATGGTCATTAAACCCTAACTTTGTACCAGCCAGTATTTCAGCTCTCTGATTTTATGAGAAGTACCAGTTGTATTTTGATGATCATGAGAGAGTGAGTGAGTGAGTGAGTGAATGTATAACATAATACGAAACTTTGCTTTTGCTTAACTTGCGGAACTAAATGACGTATGTGATTTCTGTGTTTCTCTCTTATCCAGAGGTTCTCAAATAGAGCTGAAATACGGCAAAATAGTTCCAGTAAAGGATGGTGCAGGAGCGGTTGCATCGCGCTCGACTTGGCGGGGACACTGCCGTGCCCCCCAAATCCATGATGGGTTCTAAATAAGTAGGTACTAACTACCTATATTGTTGGTATGTAGGTACTATAAAAATGTTTTATATCTTCTACGTTACTTGCAATTCTACGACTGCCGTCTATGAGTTCGACTTCAACTCCGACAACAAACTTCTTGACATTTTTTTTTTATTTTTTTTATTTATTTACACTTTTTGTAGATATACAACGGCGGACTTAATGCCTAGTGGCATTTTCTAACAGTCAACCTTAGGGTGGTGCAGAGAGATACAATAGTAGGTGTAAACGTTTAACACTTATTAGAGTGACACAATAATTAACATTAACATTAACATCATATATA